TTCTCTAAACAAGCTATTAACCTAACCATCTGAATCAACGACGTAACTCTAAACACCTGCAAAAGATTCCTGAGGCTTTTAAAAACTCCCAGCCTTGTTCATTACTCAAAACCGCAATCATGGGTAAGACTGCCGACCTGACTGCTGTCCAGAAGGCCATCATTGACACCCTCAAGCAAGAGGGTAAGACACAGAAAGAAATTGCTGAACGAATAGGCTGTTCCCAGAGTGCTGTATCAAGGCACCTCAGTGGGAAGTCTGTGGGAAGGGAAAAGTGTGGCAGAAAACGCTGCACAACGAGAAGAGGTGACCGGACCCTGAGGAGGATTGTGGAGAAGGGCCGATTCCAGACCTTGGGGGACCTGCGGAAGCAGTGGACTGAGTCTGGAGTAGAAACATCCAGAGCCACCGTGCACAGGCGTGTGCAGGAAATGGGCTACAGGTGCCGCATTCCCCAGGTCAAGCCACTTTTGAACCAGAAACAGCGGCAGATGCGCCTGACCTGGGCTACAGAGAAGCAGCACTGGACTGTTGCTCAGTGGTCCAAAGTACTTTTTTTGGATGAAAGCAAATTTTGCATGTCATTCAGAAATCAAGGTGCCAGAGTCTGGAGGAAGACTGGGGAGAAGGAAATGCCAAAATGCCAGAAGTCCAGTGTGAATCACCCACAGTCAGTGATGGTCTGGGGAGCCATGTCAGATGCTGGTGTTGGTCCACTGTGTTTTATCAAGGGCAGGGTCAATGCAGCTAGCTATCAGGAGATTTTGGAGCACTTCATGCTTCTATCTGCTGAAAAGCTTTATGGAGATGAAGATTTCATTTTTCAGCACGACCTGGCACCTGCTCACAGTGCCAAAACCACTGGTAAATGGTTTACTGACCATGGAATTACTGTGCTCAATTGGCCTGCCAACTCTCCTGACCTGAACCCCATAGAGAACCTGTGGGATATTGTGAAGAGAAAGTTGAGAGACACAAGACCCAACACTCTGGATGAGCTTAAGGCCGCTATCGAAGCATCCTGGGCCTCCATAACACCTCAGCAGTGCCACAGGCTGATTGCCTCCATGCCACGCCACATTGAAGTAGTCATTCATGCAAAAGGATTCCCGACCAAGTATTGAGTGCATAACTGAACATGATTATTTGAAGGTTGGCGTTTTTTTGTATTAAAAACACTTGTCTTTCATTGGTGGGATGAAATATGCTAATTTTTTGGGACAGGCATTTTGGGTTTTCATGAGCTGTATGCCATAATCATCAGTATTAAAACAATTAAAGACCTGAAATATTTCAGTTTGTGTGCAATGAATCTGAAATATATGAAAGTTTTATTTTTATTATTACATTATGGAAAATAATGACCTTTATCACAATATGCTAATTTTTTGAGAAGGACCTGTAAAATGAGAAGTAAATGGAAGAAATTAAGTAAAAAAAACAACAATAAAAAAACAGCTACATTGTAAAGTGATGCAAAATACTAAAAACAAAAATATGTCTGCGTTGGTTTTTGCTATGAACTTAACAGTTTTTTAAAGTCCCTTAGAGAGGTCAACGTTGACCGTTTCAGATCTTTTTGTAAGGTGTTTCAGGAAACAGGAGCGGAGGAAGAGACATATGCCTAGTTCGGTCCGAACTGAGGGTAGACTGCAGGTAATGATGTCTTGGGAGAGCATGCTGTAGCTGCACCCAGAAAGCGACATATAGGGGGAGATGCATGAAGGCGACAAACCAAGAAGTGATTTAAAGATGAAAATGTACCAGTGAGAGAGTCTGCTTAATGATAACCAGTTAACCAGTGAATACAGGGCGCAGTGATGGGTACAGTAGTTACAGCCAGTTATGAATCTTGGCACACGATAATGGACAGCATCCAACATCTGCAAGGTGCTTGTAGGAGCGTTCTTGTAAATAATGTCACCGTAGTCAATGGAGGGAAGGAAAGTAGCAGTTACAAGGTGTTTCCTAACATTCAGACTTAGGATCTATTTCTAAAAAAGAAACCCAGTTTTTCTTTCAGTTTCTTTACTAAGTTTTCGACATGAGGCATGAGAGATGCGAATCGACCAAGATACCCAAGTATTATAAGAATTGACAAACTCAATTCGACCACCATTCGAAAATAAAATAGAAGGAAGGACTGATGGTACCAACTTCCTGTTTGAAAACAACATCCCTTTGGTTTTATTAGCATTTAGCACCAGTTTGAGACAGGACAAATCTGACTGGATGATGTCGAACGCAGACTGTAAAAGCTGGAAGACCTTAGCAACTGTTTTAGCTCGACAAGAAACAACTGTATTGTCGGCATAAAAATGTAAGGACACATCAGGAATGATCTAACCTACATTACTTATGTAAATTGAGAAGAGGGTGGGTCCTAAGACTGAACCTTGTAGTACACCGTTGTTAACAGTTAGGTAGCTGGAAGAAGTAGAATAGAAATAGAATAGAAACAGCCTTTATCGTCCCATGGATGGGAAATTCCAGTGCAATTATACAAAAGTACAATTATGAATTATTATGAAGTACCAAAATGAATCACGCATATCTGAGAAAGCCTTGACAATGGCTAACAAAGTCAAAATGCAGATGATTACAGTTGTCACATAAAATAAAAAAAAAGCAACCAGACCAACTGGTTATTATTCTACCATCTCTCAGAAGCTGAGTGACTTTAAACACAGCTACATACCTGGGGGAGATCCAGAAGAGGAGGCCATGGAAGCAGCTCAATCTCAGTTTTAGTGGTTTCACATAGTTCTTTTGGATGCAGTCGTGATGATGCAATGATTTGGTTTAGGAATGAGCTTGGCAGAGTCAAACGCTCTACCAGAGTTGTGAGACACAGCAAAACACACAAAAACTTCATATCAGTATTTTAAATCTCATACTTATTTTTGAAGTAATTAATGAGTCGGAATAAACAAAGACTTTAAAAATGTACAGATAACTGTTGCCAGGAGTTGTGTTAGACAAAGAATGGATTTTTTTCCTTTTATTTTGGTATCACCTGTATCCACACCATCGTTGACAGTGCTGCCGACTGCATTGTTGTTCTGAGCCGTCAGTTTCTGCTGGGCCAGCTGATGGTTGATACTCTTGTGCAGCTCCTGGCCATCATTACCGATAAACAGGTACATAAAGACGACCTTTTCACCTTTGTCCTCCTTTAGTTTGGAGATCTAAAATGAAAGTAATTACACACACTATGTTACATGAGAATCTGGTTTAAATTTCAACTGTAAAGTTTCTGTTTTTCTTTTCTAACTTAAGTTTATATTTCACCTTCATTTTGCAGTTTTCTCTTCCCAGTATGGCCTCATTCAACCACAGAATGGTCTCGTTGCTCCAGCCTCCTTCTGGAACAGTGATGTCAGCTAGGTGACATTTAAAAGTCTGTGACAAACATAATTATGAACATTTGTCAGTTACCAACAAGTACGGTTAAAAGCAAGTTTACCTAAATTATTAATGAGCTGTCATTTACAGATCTTTTCACAAAACCACTCCAATTTACATTATGTTCACAAGATTTTTCATACATACTGGTATATATTTTTATACATTTCGCATATGTATTTGGGAATTTTGAATACTGGAGAAACTATGCTTAGAGTGGGGTTCGTTAGAGATTTTTAAGCATATTGACGCACAACTGACCTGTGGTGGAATGACAATAAAAGCCTTCAGAAAAAGAAGAGGAATCTCTCGAAGATCTGTGACTTCAACAGTTGCTGACACCCCAAAGTCAATGAAGAAAATCTCCATCACTCTGTTGTCATACATGTTGGTCAGCTGGAGGGGAAAAAAAAAGAGACAAAAACTCTGTAGACAACTTTTTCCATACCCCCCCCCAAAAAAACAATTATAATTATTAAACCCATTTTCAGGATTGTGTTCTTACCTCAGCTCTGGCCCACTTTCCTTTGTATCGGGCTAAACAGAACTTGCCAGTGAAAGGTCTGGAAACCAGGGACTCGAATGCCATCTTGTAGGAACAATTGTGTGAAGAATTTTATTATAAATTAATATTTAACATTTACTCTACAAAAACAGAACAACGGTTTAATAATAAACCATAAACAACAACAACAACAACAACAACAACAACAACAACAACAACAACAACAACAACAACTGTAAAACTTGATTGTTTCTACAGAAAACATTAGCAGTTCTATACAGTTATCCAAGGCCAAACTTAAGTTTGACATCCCAGAGTGCAATTTTGCATCAACATACATGTTCCTGCTTAAACAGCTCTGACACATCCAGGAACAGACTCCCATTAGGACTCTGTAGTCGAGGATGAAATATTTTCGGGAGTACCGCAGGTCACGTGATTCCGGCGGGATCGGAGTCAACCTTATTATAACATACGTGAGACCAGGACGTGACCGGACTGAAAGTTAACGGGAGCAGACAGGAGCGGGAACTAACCAATAAGCAAAAAAAGAAAATGGAAAAAAAACCAACAGCTGGTAAAGTGCAGCTATTTTGAAGTTTTCTTTCAATAAGCCTTCACTTTAACACAAGTCAAAAGAACTACATTGCCCAGAAGTCAACTGTTCCAGCCTCTGCTTTTCACAGAGAGGGTAGGAGCACAGCAAAACAACAGATGGGCTGAAAATAGTAAAGTAAGAAGAAACTATCCATTAAGCTTACAGAACGGGCAGAAAAGTGTCGAATAACCCTGAACTTCACGAGAGTTGTGTGTTGGTGCAAGCTGCTTGTAAAACGTTTAGTCTCAGCTGCGGTGGGAGTTGGACTTTTGTTTACCGTCAGTAAATAAACAGACTCACGCATTTTTCTTCACCATGTCCCTTTTAATTAAAAAATTATGCTATGCTTTGTTACGTGGGTTTTTAGGTTAAAATCTTCATTGTCCGTCGCCGTTTGTAATGTAACAAATAAAAGAAAGGAACTCTTCCTGGTTAAAGTGCACGCATTCTACGGTAAAACTATCCTCATTTTTGATATTGTGACGTCCTGCTGGACTACTGAAATCGAGGAAAACGTGAATAACTATCACTTTATTGCGTAAATAGTTACTGTCGGCTGTATTTTGCTTTGTGTGCTGCATGATGCATCACAAGATCCATAAAATCTTGTAATCTCTGTCTGGGGAGGCCGTTTAAATAATTAATAAATATGATAAGTGAAATAAAGAAAGAAAAATTGAGTTACTGTAATTCATAATTGCAAAGGTCACATTTTCTTGACAATTTCAATTGTAAATCTCTTCTTTTTGACGAAATATTTTTCCCAAAAGAAAGGCTGTAGTGAACTCGGCCTCCGGTCAAGACCTGCCCCTGAAGACCTTCATGGGACAGGAACTGTTATTTCATTGATTTGAATCCAGAAATACAAATTAGCTCATCCAGAGACTTTCTAATTGTATCCTGAACTAATCAATTGAAAGAACACTCGCTTTTTATATTATCATTACTATTTTACAATGTTTTGATAATCAAATGTGTGTTTAGTTCAAACCATTTTAAATGTTGAAGTGAACCACTCATTTTAAATCAACTGTGAAACAGTATTAATGATTTTTGATCCTCATTCAAAGTAGAAATCAAGTTAAATGTCTATGTTACAAAGTAATTATGCATTTTTTGATCTTTTGTCTGAAATGAGAGAGTGATGTCGGTCAAAAGTCGGAGACAGTCGCAAACAAGTTTATTGGAACGAACTGTCATGTTTTTAAACCTCTCAGACAGAAACAAGAGAACTGGCACCTGTAAGTCTGTCATTTCTCCAAAACATTTCTCTGTCTGTTCCTAAACATCTCCGCTGTTTTTCTGACTTGTAGTGACCCTCTGGCGTCACTAAAACCACACCCCTGTTGGTTCTTTCACAGGGTATATGCAGGAATAATGAAGTTAATTTCAATACCTTTTCAAGACTTTTTCAAGACCTTCCAAAATAAATTCAAGACCTTATCGTCACTTTGTTTTATTAAGCAACAAATCTTTGATTTACAAAACTGCTGTTGTTTTCAATTAAATCCGTGAATCTCAAACCTACAACAGAACTGAGATACAGTGGATAGAAAAAAATTCAAAAGAAGAAACTGAACCACGACTAGGTTTAAGAAAATATAGCTTAGGTTACAACAAGACTCGTAGTTATTTTAAAGTAACTTGGTTGAACAATGGCGAATAAGAAATAAACACAGTAATCATTACATGTGCCTCAGTGCAGTTGCTTTGCATTCCAGCAACTCTTCAGTTTGCACCAGCTCACTGAGTTTTTCTTTACGTCTCCTTCTCAAGACATTGGACTTGGTGATCAGTTGGGCCATTAAAGAACCTGACTTTCCCTCTGCCTGCTCTGCCAACTGATCTGCATCTTTTTGCAGAGAATCGCACACCTCTTGTAGAAGTTTTCTCTTTTTTTTCAGCTCTTCTAACTCAGCTCCAGCTGCTTTCCTCTTAAGGCTCTGTGTGGAAGTTTATTTCTTCTTTCGTTGCTGTTCCAGGTAAATCCTGTACTTTGACCTTGCAGAGGCAACAGAAGCCAGCAGCTCCTTGGTCAGAGGTACCTGCAGAACACCCCCACAGACACTGACCTTGTCGCAGATCAACCTCAGACCCTCCATCGTCTCTTTGTGTATGTTGCAGGTTTCGACCTGCTTGTTAACTGAGAATCCACGCTCCACTGTGGCCTGTCCATGGGAGAGTAGTAGGAGGATCTGACAGAACCTTGAGAGCTCAGGGTGAGACTTGCCGATTGCTGAGTGCAGGAACACATCAACCCGCTGCTGCAGTGGTTGAAAGGCATTGGGGCCGTCCATACTGATGGAAACAAGCTGTCTCATATTCAGTTTGGCAACACATTCCTGTGACAACAGTATGGATTTGATATTTAATTTTTAGACACACAGGTGTTCAAATCGTTATGTATGTAAATATCACACACACACACACACACAATTCTTCATTGATTTAAAGGAATATTCTATTTGAGTACTTTTCATATATAAAAATGTACTGTAATATGCTTTATTTAATATCAACATACACAAAGAAAAGATTAAATAGTAGTAAACAAAAAGATTCACTTACTTTGATGTGATGCAACAAGTCCTCCGCTGTTCCATGTCCCAGGAATTGAGAGCCCAGATACCTGGATTGAACGCAGTCTTCATTCCAAAAACGAATGTGCACATCGAGCTGTTTCTTTTTAGTTGACTGGTTCAGAGACTCGTCAAACATCAACACAAATGGGCCAGCTTTGTTAATACTGTCAACGAGCTCCTGCTTAAAAAAATGTGCAAGCCCGAATCGCAAGATGTAACCCGTTTTGTCCTTGCCACAAGTGAATGTTCTGGCTATATCCGAATCTGGAAACATTGATTTAAAAATGTCCGATATGCCTTCGTTGGAATTTAGAGAATGGTGATTCACCGCAGTGTGGAGACACCAGATCACCTCTGCACGCAGTGTTGGTGTGCTGCCCATGGTCACCATGATGTCGGCAGACGGAGAGGCAGAAGACAGTGTCAAGGGAGCTTTGGTTGGTTCAGGCACACGGTTAGCTGGAAGCGCTGTCGCTGGTGGAGCACAGAAACTGCTGATAGACATCTGCGTTTTGCGGCTAGCTGCACTTTTGTGGCTAGCTCCAGTCATATGGGACTTCAAGGCGTTTATGCCCATCGAGGCTACGCTCATCTTTTTTTTACAAAATGTACAATAAGCCTCGCGGTTATTCTCGGCGACAGGCCTCAGCCATTCTTGAAAATCAGGCATCTCCAACCAGGAGTCCGAAAACTTGCATTTACCCATTGTTCTCACGGTCTCGCGGCAACTTACTCGAACACACAGACTCAAAGCAGCCGCGCATGCGCACAAGATAGGCCTAGCCATTAAAGCTGTTGTAACCTGACACTCTAAATTTGAGCGAAGCAGTTTCCGAATCCTCCGCGGTGAGGAAAACAAATATTAGTCATACATACTTTTTGCTGTCAAATTATTTAAAGCTAGAATAACAGCAAAAAAAAAATACCTCATCAAATCGCTTTCAAGACTTAATACTTTTCAAGACCCTTAATTTTCCCAAATTTGATTTATCAACTTTTAATAACTTTCAAGACCCCGCGGACACTCTGTTTCAACCAATCAGGACTTCCCAAAAGTGAACGGAAGCAGAACTCTTTAAAAGTCGACACTTCCTAGTTCCAGTTAGTTTTGGGAGAGAACAGAAGTTCCATGGAGAACAGAAGTTCCAAGAGAACAGAAGTTCCAGGAGAACAGAGAGTTCTGCTGGAGAAGGAGACGAGTGTGACTTTACAACTGAAGTCCACGGTGGTCTTTTTTTGAAAGATGACACCTGTCTGGAGCGTTGATTCAGGTCATCACGCCAAAGACCTATTCAACATCTCAGGAGTTCAGCACGTTTGCTGAAATTCCACTTAACTTAATCCTATCTTTCGGGGAGTTTATTTTGGAAGCTGGGCCAGTCAGCCTCGTGGTCCCAAGTTGATGAGAAGCGGATATAACTCCCTGGAGAGAAAAGACTCAGCCTTGCTGGATGCCAGGAGAAGGCCTCTCTGAAACCCCACCAAGGTAAAGAGTCAACGCTCGGGTACCATCTAGCTGAAATCACCGGGAAACGTGCTATCTGGTTTCAAACAAGATAACTCCCCATCTTTTCTTTATCTTAGTTAACCCTAAGTATCCACTTTTCCATCAAAAACTTTACTCCATCTCTATATTCCTCTGCCAGTAAAAGATAAGCTAAAAGCCTGCAGACATTAATTTAAGATCTAAGGAAATGTCTGTTGTTTTTATTAAGTAAAACGTGCCAAGTTTTATTAATCAGAGCCGATCAGAATAATCAAGTGTACAATGTTTTGATGTTAAATTTTGATTCTGTTAATAAATGACCACATTCATTTTGATGGGTCAAAGAAAATTAACGTCTCATGTCACTGATTAGACCATCTCCAACACAGTACCTCTGTCACATATCTGTCAAGTAGCTCGAAAAAGAGAGAACCCGTTATTAAATATTGATTGTAGTGGAGCTCCTAAGCTAACTGAAGCTAACCTAACCCTACATCACTACAAGGCCAACAAATTGCAATTTGTATTCACTGTAACCTTATTTTGACTTATGCACCGTCTTCTTTCAATTTTAGGTTACAAAACTCGCTGAACCGATCACTGAAGCTGTGGAGAGATGAGGTGGAACACCAGACCTGCAAAGCTCCAGTCTGTAAATGATGCTCTGAAGTCTGGTAAGATGCACATCATGCTTCGCCGAAACGAGCTCGTGACCTCAACCACATAGATTACGAACTTCTTGAGGATGTCGTCAATGTGTAATGATGCCTTTAAGCATTTTTACTTGTCGAGTTCTCTTGCTTGATATATTATTTTTCTTTTGTTTTTGTTTGTTTAAGCAATTTAAAACATGACAGTAATGTCACTGTTTAAAGGAAACAACTGCTCAATAAATTAGCAAAATGCAACTTTTATTTGTTGTTTGGGTTCTTTATCTAAGGTAGACATGGTGTGACCCATGTACTGTTTTTAATATTTAGTTTTTACTGTAACTGACCTTCAAAAGAGCTAGAAACAGGGACTCAGAAGCTGATCCTCCGTAGAAAAATTATAGGGACTACAGGCCATGGATTATTTGTTTTATGACATTTAGTGAAGGTTTTTGTTTGGATGAAGGCAATAAATGCTTCTACTTCACCACAGATGAACTGTTCCTGTTGCCATATCTTTTGAAATAAAACTATAGAACACAAAGTAATATAAAATGAAATGGATAGAAGAACAAATCAAATTCAATGTATTTCCTAAAAATTAAATGAAGAGAAAAAAACAGGAGCAGTACAGGAGGTTTTTTTTTTTTTTACTCTGGACCAGGACTGGGACAGGATTTTTTCTGTGGGACCAGGACAGGAGTGAAAATCCACTCCCATGTCATCCTCTACTCTGTAGGTCTACTGAGCCATCAGTAGTTAGCTGTTTACAAATTATTGATATTTCAGTGTTCATGAGAATCTTCTCAAATTCATTTCGAAAATTAAAATCACACTTCAAATCAACTGTGGCTCAAAACTATGGTAATGTAAATTTACCCACAATGCAAGCTTCCTAAGAATACAAGCAGCTATACAAAGCTATGGAACCCAAAACTGTGTTTACCTGAGACATGAAATATGCATCTACTTCTTCAAGCAACTTCCTGAGTCTTACAGTTCCTCTGGAGGGCAGCCGACAGAAAATGGTGCCATCTGCACACACATTCGAGATGCACACTTCACGATAGGTAACATTGACCTATGGGAAATAGAAAAATTTATGTCAGAAGAAGCTAGGGAATTTAACAATACGTGTGCCACTGAGGGTTGCTTGATTAAAACTTTGATTCAAACTAAACAAAAGCCAAACAGTTGTTACAAATGACTAATAAAACTGCAGAATACGAGGATGTCTGCATTAACATACAGAAAGAGGGTTGTTCATAGTCTTGTCCTGCAGAGCCTTCAGGCACATGGAGTTAATGTTTACATCTTCATCTTGTGACGTGTCATAAAGTACTGCCAGTGGTGTTTCATTCTGTGGACATGGCTGCAATGTTTCCATCAGCAGGATCTTTCCAACTGCCAACTTATCCAGCAAGGACAGCACCAGTGAATTGGAGCTGAAAGCCTCCAGGCCTGGTAGGAGCAAAACAAAAAGGTAAAAGGTGATCATATTGGGGGAAAGACTCTGCAAGGCTAATTACTCCATAACGCGTAACAGTGGCTAAATATTTTCTCACTAATTTCTGCGCACCTGCAAGTCCGACAACAGAAGCTTGGAAAGGCAAAGCAAGGAAGTCCTGATGCAGCTCCTGCAGATTAGCCACACTTGTCTCCACAGAGAAGCCATAGTCTACATAGAATACCTGGCAGTAAGAAGAAAGTTTTTATTTGCATGTGACCTACAAGCTAAATGCTTAGTCCATGGTTAAATTAGCTTTGTTTAAATATATATTTTTAATTGGGGTAGTGGAAGGTTTTATTTGGAAGATGATACATGAGAAAGTAAACTGAGAAGGGGAGTTTGTGCATTTTAATGGTAAACAGACCAGAACACAAACTTGAGCCAGCTGCATAAACCTCTTAACAAGATGCCTGCTCTACTGAAAACAGATTTAAAACTGAGTAAGTTACCTTGATCTTGTTCAGGTTTGAGACATCCTTCACCTGTGCTCTGGCCACCTCTTCATCTTCCCCTCTGACAGCTACCAGCTGACCAATGACAGGGTTAGTAATCGTCTGCTGTTTGGAGCTTTGGCTGTAGAAGGTAAGCATGCCACCTTCCATGGCTTCCTGAGCATCAGAGTAGTTTTCACCTACATACCTACACAGAAACATTCAAACTCTGCATTAAAATCTTATATTAACATGGATCCATTCACAAAAAAGCAGTTTTTGACGTCATCTTACTTTTAGACAAAACATTGCCGATACATTTTACACATTCTATCAGAATTATCACGTGGGAAGTGGTACCTTAAAAAAAAAAAAAAAAAAAAAAAAAAAAAGAGATATACGTAGCTGGCATTTGCAGAAACGTCAACTTTAATAACTTTGGAAGTGTGTGATAATCTCTTACAATTTAAACAGGCAGAATGCTTCTCTTAAAAATATAGAAAGTATCGATGTTAAAAAAAAAAACTCTGGAAACAAAATTTTCTTGCGGCAAAGAGCAATAGAATATTTTAAGTAGGAGCTCCTTGTCATTAAATGACTTTTTGACAGAGTCTTTGAAAAATTATTCAGTCTGTGAGTTTGAGGGACTTTGTGAAATTACATGAACTTGTAACAATTTCACAACTCTTTCTGGTTTCAAAGTTACACTTAGTTCCAATCAGAAAATCTAACTGGTTTCACCCATACTTAAAAATAATTCAAATTAGTTTAACCAAAATGTATTTTAATTGGAAAAGGAACAAGTCTTCTGCTGTATGGACTGCTGTGGTTACAGTACAGATACAGAAACGATGTGCCTCACCTTATAGTAACAGCATTACTGCTCTTGACCTCAGTCACCAGCACGGAGGGGTACTGTTCAGAAGGAAGAGCCAGACGTGGAGGAACTACAGAACCCACGACCTTCAAACCAGAAGGGAGAGGGTTGCTCTTGCTCTGCTGGCTTTCTTGGCAGTCTGCATCTACGCTGTTCGAGTTGTATAAAATTGCCTGCCCAAAGAATAACCATCAACAAAGTGGCAAAAACTATAATTTTAAGCAAAACAAAGTTAAAAAGGTACAAATAGGCAAGCAGCACTGGAGATGTGGTTAATGATAAACAGCAAAGCTGCTTAAGACCTGGACAATGAGTGCATTAGTTTCAACTGAATCAACAGCAAACCATCATGCCATCTTACCTTCTTCTTGTCAAGTGAAAAGGGGTACTCCACAGTACATATATCACACAAAAGAGTCAAGTTATCCAGAATCTGTTCAGGAAACGGCATCTTGTATGCATCCAAAAAAAGTTCGGGCAAAGCATGTGCCCACAGACCTTGACTGTACTTGGAGAGGAGCTCCTTTATTTTCTGACGCACCCCAGCTGACACGACGACAGAAGGTTTGGAGGGAGGACAAGAAGCAGAATCAGAGAGCGAGGAGAAAGTGACTTTCAAAAGAGATAAAACGTCCTGATCAGGTTCAGCAGAGGAAGTCTTAATGTTAGTGTTGTTTGATTTAAGGCAAGTCCAGGTGGGGTCTAGCGGCGCAGCGTTTCGGTTGTGGGTAACTTTGGGCAAACTGTGATCCACTTTAGAGCCAATGCTTGGGTTGCCTGCAGAACTGGCACATGGGAGAAGACCTAGAGCCAGACTGGGGTTGTGGGCAGGACTTTGTAACATCACAGATGGCAGAACTTTTCCTGAAGCAGCAGGTTGTGGAAAAAGTAACGTGGACATTGACAAAGGGTTTTGGGGGGAATCTCTAGCTTTAGGAACAGCAAAAGGAGACAAAATTGAATTCAGTTCAGGGGTTGAGGGAGGGGAAGAAACTGGTGTAGAATCCAAATGTGATGTTGGAGATGAGCTGGTGGTTTTTAAGGAGTTGGTAACGGGCTTGGAAGGCAGAGGAGGGTAGACGAGCTGGTCAGCTCTGTTGGTAATGGAAGGTTTTTCCACCTGTGAGGCAGACAAGCAAGAAAGCACAGAAGGCTTGAAATGAAATGTCTTATCAAAATAAGTAGCTCCAAAATATTTTCTTTGGTAAACATTTATTCCTGACAAATATTCAAAAAGACTTTTTTTGCAATAGACCCCAAGTTTGAATGAAAGAGGACTGAAAAGTGAAAAAGTGGAGAATATCATGACAAATTAAAGTTCTTTCCTTTGTAGCGTTTGCTTGTTTCTCTGCATACAGCACAAATTAACACCGTAGTAAATGCTAGCAACTCACCAAACAGATTTCTGTCCACTTCTCCATATCTAAAAGCACCTGAGGATGGAGCTTCTGACTGAACATTTGAATGTAGACCTCTGGCAGTTTGGACATCCACAATCCAGAGGAGTACCTCTCCAGAAGCTGCTTTAGTCTGCTCTGCACCAACTCCACATCGTACAGACTATTCTACAGAGAAAGATGAAACAAGATTAACCACTTGTACATAGTTCAACTAAAAATAGGTATTTTCTGTTATGCAGCTACTTGTCATTAAGTTACTTATACTATTTAACATCTATTTATGGCAGATGACTCAAAGTGTAGCAGAATGAGAAAGTGAAGTCTGAGTGAATTTATTCCCTCAATAAAAAAATTAATTCTTATTTCAAGAGTTTTGTTGCAATCTGTGCTAAACCTATAAGGACATATTAAAAACTGCAATGTGTATAAACAAAGGTCTGTACCTGAGGTTTGCTTGGTGCAGAAACTTGATCATGATGAATGTTTGGGTGCAAGGAAAACAGAAAATTAAAAGTGAGTAAGTTTTGAAATCAACCTATTTTTGCAGCATTTCACCTGGTTATTGAGCTGGAAATTCAAATATGCTTCATTTTAAATGTTAGAGGGAAAAAACAAAAAAAACAACGAAATGTTCACTATATAGTAGTCCCGCATTTATCGAGGGGTTCTGTAGGAGGGGGCAAGCCAAAGACACCATCTTAGCACCAACGTAACTGGTTTGTTCCACTTTGGAGTAAGCTGTTTGGGGGAAGAATCAGTTGTGTTGTGTGTTTCCTTGACTGATGAAGCCTTCTGGATGGAAGGTGAAACGTTTCAGCACAAAAAAAGAAACTGTCCAGATGACCCGACTGAAAATTGTTGATGCACTGTAACAACTGAACATAGAAGTTCTAAAATAATTAAAAATAACTTAACATAACATAACGATTTTACGATGTGACATACTTTAAAATTTTAAGTTGGAAGACGAAGGTCAATTGGTGCATCTGGACAGCAAAGGGTTAACCCTTCACAAAGTTGATGCAGCACGGAGGAGAAATGCAGGAGGGAGCTTCCCCCTACACTTATGAGCTGCACACAGGTGCTAAATCATTTTAAATCATTTATTTTAAATAAACAATCCATGGCTCATCCATCAATCAGCCAACTGTGTCATGTCCAATCTTGCTTTGAAAAACCGCGATTGTGCGAGTCCACGAAAAACGACCCACAAAGTAGCGAGGGACTACTGTAATTACATTTTTAATGTGCTGGAACATAAAATAGGGCAACGAGGTTTTTATGAAACTTAAATTATGATTAATTAACATTTACTTAATTTAAGTCTTAACTAAATTAATCCTCTATTTCAAGTCCCACTGTCTTTTAGCAAGCATTTGCCTGTATGTGCCAAATTGTCCAAAACCATTAACAGGAACTCGTAGGTTTGATCATATTACACCAGTTTTATCCTCCTTTCACTGGCTCCCTGTACGTAACAGAATTTATTTTTAAAATTCTCCTGCTAACCTTTAAGAGCATAAATGGCCTTGCACCCTCATACTTCTCTGGGTTACTGGAACCGTACGTTTCCTCTCGGGCCCTGAGATCATCTGATCAGCTGCTATTGGCTGTTCCAAAAACAAGACTGAAGCTCTGAGGTGATCGGGTTTTTTCAGTCGTCGCCCCCAAACTTTGGAACAATTTGCCCCCCCAACATTAGACAGGCCACTTCACTTCCTGTTTTTAAATCTCTGCTAAAAACATGTCCGTTTTCACTGGCTTTTTACACAGTAGGACTCAATTTAGTATTTTATTGCTCTGCATTTCTGATTTCTTTTCGTTTTTTTAATTAATTTTCAGTATTATCATTATTTTTTATTATTTTTTCCATGAATTTACACCCATTGATTTTACTGTTAAGCACTTTGGTAATAGCTGCTGTTTTAAATGTGCTTTATAAATAAAGTTGACTTGACTAATGAGGTACAAAGACATCTTATTTACATTTTAAATAAAACAAATAAAAAATTATACATTTATTTAGTCAATATTTATTCTTGATATTTCCTGAAATACGTACATCTTATATCAGCACAACCTTGTTTCGTTCAAAGCATTTAAGTAAAATGCATTAGCCACATTAATTAAAATAAAATACAAATTGTCGAATGATGACGATGCAGTTCAATTAATCTATTGCATGTGACTTCACTGGAGATACTGAAATTCTTACTAAGGAAGTTTTGAAATTAACATGTAGATAAACCAGCATGTACTCACTCACCTGTAGAATTGTTGTTTACAGAGTTTACAACACACATCAGTTTTCTGTTGAAAGAAAAAAAGTCTTAAACATCAAACATTAAATAGCTGAATTTTAAAATTACATTCTAAAATTGCAGCATTTGTAGGGAAAAGAGTATTAATTAATGTAACTGTACATTACTTGTATGTACATATAGCACACAATCTTAAACTTATCTAATAATTTATACATTAAACAATAAAAAAAAAAGTTTTCAAGGTTGAATACATTTATCTATCTGCACTCATGTTCACCTGTTGGGTAGGACATTCCTTTTTACACCTGGTTGAGTAGTGGACAGTTCTCTGTGTTCAACAGGGGGGGCGGAGTTCAACTTGTGGTTCAACTGCCTGGTGATTAGAAAAACAAAAGCAAAAACAAGCATGCTATGTTTTTATAGACAAAAAGAAGTCAATTAGGAATGTAAATATTATCTACCTAATATCCCCTGAGGCACTGCCTCCTCTGTTGCCTCCAAGGGATCGAGACTGGTTTGCTGTCCAGTTAGAATTCCTTGCAGCTAATGGTTGGCGGAGAGAGGACCTTGGTGTGACTAAAAGCAAAGAGGGAAAACAGGTCACTTAAAAGAACAAAGTAGAGTATTGAAGTATTACCATATTTTTCGGCCTAGAAATCACCTTTTTTGCATAATTCACATACCCTGCGATTTATACACCGAAGCGACTTATTTATGGATTTTGTTTCCATATTTATAAACAAATTTTTGACTGAGATATGACCGTTTTCATTTATTCTGACTGAAAATATTGAACACTAACATTTTCAGCCGCTAGATGGCACTCGAGTAGTATAGCATGCCGTTGTGTCATGCAATAGGTAAAAGTGGCTATTAATGACACAATCGGCTTGCCATAATCTGCCACCTTCGTTCTGCTTGCTTGGAGCAACCGTCAAATCAGCTTCATTTCGCTGCGCTTCCCCGGCGAAATCCAGCTAATATGACCATAAAAGTTCAACTGAGACACATCTTTGCTATAACGTCGATCAAACAAATAATTGTTTTTAGGTGTTTATCTTGTTAAATTTCGAAGAAATGCAAAAAGGCTCGTCCCTCTGTGCACTCCTACTTCCGCGTAGCGGCTTTTGAAATACAGCCGATTTGATCGTCAACGTGCATTTATTAAGGAGAAGTTAGACTGAGACAAACCTTTGATATAATTTCGAGCAAACAAATGTTTTTTAGGTAGTTAGCTTGTGAAATTTGGAAGAAATGCACAGCGACTCATCCCATGCACGCGCCTACTTCCGCGTATCGGCTTTTAAAATACAGATGATTTGACCGTCAAAGTGCATTTTTTAAGTGTTAATCTTGTTAAATTATTGTTAAAGTCCTCCCGTGCACGCTCCCGCAGCTGCCATTTGGCAGCCAATCGATTTTTGGCACAACACCGGCCCACGTTTTCGGGTTGTCAGCAGTGACACATAATAGATGCAACTTATACGGCAAAGCGATGTATTTATGGAGTATTCCACTCTATTAGACATATTTGGACTGATGCGACTTATAAAAACTTTAGACCATTATGTTTCCACCTCACATTTCCATTAAAGCCCACTGTACAACATGCACCTCTAAGCATTAAAAACATGAACATGTGACCTGTGTCATACCGTTAAGCATGTAGGGACTGGAAGGTTTGAATCTCATCTTGCAGTTTACGACTTGAGAGCGACCAGATTTCTTGGAGTTCTTCTGTTTGGCTATCAGCTCAGCGATGTGGGCCGTTTCCTTACTTACTGAAGCAAAGCATTGTAGCTACAAAACAGATATTGTATTTTTATTCTAAACACAAACACATCATTGTAAATGTCAGAATAATTATAAAACAAAGAGAAAAAACAAAATCACCATAAAGGTTCAAGTTTCTAAATTTCTGAAAGTCCAACGAAAGCAGCAGGAAATTGTTTAATATGCTATATCACAATTATAATCATTATTGATAATAATATATTTGATAACGAATAACATAATTGAATCAATCTACATAAATTAACTGCATGAAAATCTAAATTAGGCTTCCAACTAAAGCCAGCGCTTACCTGACCCATGCGACACTCCATCTTCACTACAGACGGAATACTCCTGAGATAGTCCTCCAGGGTTGAGAAGCCCAGCTTCTTCAGTGGAATGAACTCTCCACACAGGGAGTGGTACTCTGACTGGATCTTGTTAATAGATATACCGGTCTTGCTTGACATGAGGACAGACCTCAACATTTTCTGTATGGACTCGTTATCCAGCATCCTGACGATACAAATACTGACCACAAAAACACAACAGTTAAGCACAATATATTGATTTAAGGGTGTTAAGACAGCTTTGATCAATCTTTTTAGTCTAAAACATGATTTTAGATATTTAATATTCCAGTCAATTTAGACATTAAGTAAATCAAGATCTATTATACACCTAACTGATAATGCAAAAAAAATAATAAAAATAAAAAAACTTTTACAACTAAAATCCACTGTCAGTAATGAAACAAACTATTGAGATTTTTCTCAGCTACAATTAAAAAAAAAAGTGTTGTCTGCAATATTGTGTTTACAAAGCTGAAGAGTAAAATACATTAATAAGAGTTAAGCGAGTTAACTTGTGAAACCTGTAAAGCTTAAAGAATTATTAAATTCAGTAGTGATATTTCACAATGTCAATGATTAATAGCATGAAGAATTCAAATCAAGCTGCTATAAAAAAAATAAGGAATTTTGAGCAAAACAGAAAAAATAAATCTATTCAAACTCATTTAAATGCATTTATGTAATGTGCAAAAAAAATTTGACTCATCTCTCATTTCATTAATATTTTGCTTCCAGACTTCTTGATCTTGAACAAATGTTCTTAAACCTTTCTAGTCTTTAGATGCATTTAGTACGGTGCCCAATTATTTCTAGAGAAATGTTCTGCAATAAGTCACTTAAATATGACTTGAAATCATTCAGGCATAAACTTCTTAAACTCACGGGATGAACCTACAACTTAGGATAAAAGGACATCCATCCATCCATCCATCCATCCATCCATCCATCCAACCATCATCTTTACCCACTTCTTTCTTTTTATCCTAATCGCTTTAGTTTAATTTAAAAACATACCAAAGTCTAGACAGGTTGACAGACAAAACAGTACTTTAGTAACAAAAGAATAATTTCTGAAAAAATTATTTGCTGAAATCCTGTAAAAGTGCAAAGAAAAAATTAGACCTTTAAGAAGCCTACACATACGTCACTTTAAAAATTAAAGTCCAGCTTTATAAAAAGAAAGTATAAAGCGGTTTACTCTTGCACTGTGACTAATAACATTAACAGGGGAATAACATTTGGTAACACATTTGGTAACTTAACACAGGGCCTACTCATGACAGTAGAAGACAATAGCTTTTTTCAACGTTGTGGAATGTGTAAATTTGTTGTGAATAAAGAACAGTATTCATCATTACAATGTTAAAATTGACTGCCATGCAAAAATACATTTTTGTTAATAATACCCTCAGTTTGCATGAACTCACAGAACAAATCTGAATTATGTAGAGTCGTTTTTCCACTTTCCTTCCTCTCTGAATAAAGTTATTAACAAAAAAATACACAAACGCTTCTAATGACTCATAAATATGTCAAGTTAACATTAACAGCAACAATGTGTGACACGTTGACAAAGCCAAAATTAAACAAAATCGTGACTAAAATTGTTGAACTGCCAGCTGCAACTTGGACCCGCCACCGTGTGTTAGCTTACTGTTAGCTAAAGGCTAACTCACCGTCCTGTTGCTCGTTTAAAGTAAGCGATGCCTCGCCACTTTCAGCCCACAATAATATTTAATAAACCAGACGATGTAGAAAACAATAGCAACATTTAGGGACGAAATAAATGTTTTAAATGAGAAAAGTACCTGCTCGAGCTGTTGAAGGATCTTCTTTTAACAATCTCAGGCAAAAGCTTGCGCCTAGAAGTCCAAAATGGCGGCGACCCCGCCCAGTTCCGTTGTTAGTTTGAATCAAGCCCACTTCTTATTTTATATTTGTCTATAGTCACAAACACACACACACACACAACTTAAAATTACAACATAGCGCATATAATTATTTATTATTATCAATCTAGTCAAAAGTACAGTGCCCGACCAAAAGTGGGACGGCGTAAAAACAGCAACATTTAAGTCTACATTATGCTGCATTTAAATGTCGTCGGAATTTCTTGTTCTAGTTAACAAAGAAATTCAGTAGAGTGAGAACATAAAAATATAAAATAGGATCGACCTAAATGGTTTATTTTGCTTACATAAGAAGAAATGTACTTACACTAACAATCTTCAAGCTGCAACACAAATATGGGATTTTTCAGCAATACTAAGCACTTTGATAACAGCTGCTGTTTTATAAATAAAGTTGACTTGACTAAGCAGTCACTGGCTGGATATTCCACAAAAATTTACTGTAATAATAATAATTATTATAATAACAATAATTTGCATTACAGTCAAATAGTACAATTCAAATAATTTTATTAAGAAAAAAAGGGTAATAAATTATACACAAGTTTAGCCCTAGACTTTTAAGTTGTGTCATTTTATGATGTTGCTGCCCTAAAAAAAAAAAAAGTTCACGTAGGTGACAAATAAATCAGAATAACTTATATATTGACTAAGTGTGTGTGTGCACAAACAAGCTATTTGACTTGAGTTTCGAGTGCTCACAGCGTACAGAAATCATGCATAACTTATATAAACTTAGATGATAAAAGAAACATGCATAAGTATATATGTACAGACATTTTTTAATACAATGAAAGAAAAGAAAATAAGGCAGGTTGTGGTAGAGCAAATTATTTATTGTTAGAAGACTAATGTGATACTGTCACATGGTTGTTGAGTTCAAATTAGAGACCACCTGGGGTAAGAAACTCTCTGTGGCAACTGGTTTTTGCAAATAGCCCTCTGTAGTGTCGACCTGAAGGTTAAAATCTAAACAGTTTGTGTCCAGGATGTGTGGGGTCTGCAGAGATGTTACCAGTCCTACAAATCCTGGATCGAGGGAAGGACAGCCCCAATGGTCATCTCTGCAGACTTCATTGTTTGTTGCAGCCACTTGTCCTGTTTTGTGGATGAGCCAAACCACACAGTGATGGATGTGCACAAAACAGAATGAATGATTGCTGTGTAGATGACCAGCAGCTCCTGTGGTAGGTTGTACTTCTTGAGTTGCTGCTAAAATTAAAGTCTCTGTTGGATCTTCCATGATCAGTGTCCAGTGTTTCATCCCTACCATTAAGCACCGCACCCCGTCAACAGAAGTGAGCGCCCCTCCTACCGAACCGAACTGCGTGCACCCCACCCACTCATCAGCACTGACGTAGCGCTAAGCTAGTGGCTCACAGTACAGGCGCACTAGCTAAAAAGCTAAAGGCAACGTCCCTCATGCTGAACCCCTTACCCACTCCCACTCGAAAACTGTCGGTTCAAATAGTGTGCAGCTCAGATGCGTTCCCTCCCCACACCTCCACAAAAATCACAGACAAGATGAGTGCCCCGCCATGGCAGTTATCTAGGAGAAACGCTAGTGTCTATGTGAGAGGGCCTTCTCAGGAACTAAGTGTGGTTCCTAGGAAATGGACATGATCCACAGTAGACACAATATTGCTGAGGATGGTGAGGGGAGACAGTGTGGGGGGACTTCTCCAGAAGTCCACTGTTATCTCCACAGTCTTGAACGTTTTAAGCCACAGGTGGTTCTGACCACACCAGTTGACCAGCCGATCCACCTTCTGCCTGTAGAGAGGCTCGTCATTGTCTTGTATCAGACCAATAACAGTGGTCTGTTCCACAGACCGGTCCGCTGAGGTGCAGTCATCTGTGTACAGAGAAGCAGGGAGAGAACACACCCCTGGGGGGCACCGGTGCTCATGGTTCCTGTGCGGGCAAAGATGCTCCCCAGCCTCACCTGCTGCTGTCGATCAGTCAGGAAACTGGTGATCCACTGACATGTGGAGGTCAGCAGCACTGTGAGCTGGGTGAACTTTTGATGGAGAATGTCTGGGGTGATGGTGTTGAAGGCTGAGCTGAAGTCCACAAACAGGATCCTGATGTATGTCCCTGGGTGGTCGAAGTGGTGCAGGATGAAGTGTAGTCCCAGATTGACTGCATCATCTGCCAACCTGTTTGCTCAGTAAGCAATCTGCAGGTGATCCAGCAGGGAACCTGTGATGTCTTACAGATGTTTCAACACCAGTTGCTCAAAGGATTTCATGACCACAGATGTCAGGGCAACAGGTTTGTAGTCATTTAGGCCTCCTTAAATTTACATGGACACGGGTGGGGGGGACACAGTTTTTTGGATGAAATAATCCTCATTTACATGACCACATTCAGTGTTTACATGCAACCGGAGAAACCCTCCCTGAGTCTGCTGTAGTTGCCATGCCAGGTCATTAGTTGGCGCTGTGAGTTTTTTCACCTAATGCACATGCGTGCTGCCTGCGACAGCATCTGTAATAATTTTCTCTGGACTGAAAGCCCAGTAACAACAAAACTTAAAGTCTGATTTCAGATATGAGTCGATGGATTTGACGCCAAGCGGGACACAGCTCGACACAGGTTGCTGAGCGAACAGCACTGACGAGAATGATGTCGGGCTTCCCACTCCGGTGCTAATCAGTAACCGTCGAGCAATGCTGCAGATGATCGTGATCATGTTTGCCTGTGTTTACTTTGATTACACAACATCAAACTGAGTTTTCATTCTTCTTTTTCCTACGAGGAGAAGCTATCCTCCCACCAGTGGGACCGCGGTTCCAAAAGAGAGCATACACCTCAGGAGTAACTCGAAGAGAGAGACGTTGGAGCAACTATTCACCTAAAATTCCCCCCAGTTCTTTTTTTCCAATCCATTCAGTGTTTTAAGCTACATTAAGCAAAGCCTGTACAAGCCAGATAAACAACATGGCGTCAGTATCCTGGATGACAACAGAGAGGAAGGATACAGTTCGGTTAATGTGTTTTTAATAGCGTTCAGTTTTCTTATCAGTGTTTCTGTGACATACAGTTTATGGTGTTGAATAAATAAATAAAAATTAGACCTGATGTCTTCATTTTCAACTTTAATAACATGCAATAGGTTTCACAGTCAATAAAGTTTAAATCACATAACGTCAGCTTCAGGCTTGGTTTATTTGTCACGTGTAAAATCAACACAAGGTCATCAATACAATGAAATGCTCAGGACGAGAAGAACCGTCTTGACTCTCCCCCACAAAAACAAAACAAAAAAAAAAAACAGCAAATATCAAAGCATGCAACAAAAATACAAAAACAAGGTGGCAAAAGTGAAAAAAAAAAATAAATCTACAGCAGCATGGTCCTATTGGCAGAATGGATCTGATGACAGTGAGGTTGTCTTAGCAACATGGTCCTGTTGGCACCATGATACTGTTAGCGATGTGGTTCGGTTTGTGGCGTGGTCGTTTTAGCAGCGTTATCAGGTCTTGTGAGCAGGTCCCTTCAGCAGCTTCATGATAATAAGGACCGCAACAGCTGCCCTCCCAGACTGTCCTCCAGAACCGGGTTCGGCAGACAGAGCACATCTAAGGTTTCTCCACAGAACCGAACAGGTTCTTAGAATTGGGTCCTTGCAGACAGATCAAGGATCATGGAGTTGACCACCATGACAGGCCGGACGGAGCCTGAGCCCGAGGCAGGAGGGGGGGCCGGGAACTGAACCATGATGGCAGGATGGCACAAGGCAGCGACACAGAAAATTCCACAAGTGTGTCGCGGTCATACCCGCAGCGTGGGTACGCAGTGTAGGCGCAAAAAAAGTCAAAACAAAAGCAACAGGAACAAAAAAAGATTGAGTCGAAGCGGAGCTCCCGTCAGTGCTGTCATTCTGCGGCACACGTGACGTCAGAGTCTTGAGATTAGCGACTTGAATAGACCTTTTTCATGACAACCGGAAGTAGCGTCTCCTGGTGCTGGGTCACTTCCTGTTATTGTGAGTCTATTCAAACGCAAGCCTTTTCTTTTGCTGATGTGGAGGAAACCGCTGTGGCCAATTCACAAACCAATAAACTTGAGAAAGGATAAAAGTTCTTCCATGAAGAATATATCAACAACTGTCAAGGTAAGAAAAGACGTAGCTTAGCGAGCTAACCGTTAGCTACAACATATGAAGTACATAAACATCGTAATAAAGCCTAATTTAGTGTGCTAAATTATTTGGAGTATTTGAGACAGACGTGGTATAAACTTTTAAATGATATTTTAACATTCTGATTTGTGTTTGCCATTACAACTTGTGAAAGAAAACGTACTAGATGTTACTTATAAGATGCTATGATGCTTGATGTTCAAATTGTGCTTTACTTCTGCATAACTACAGGTCAAATATTGTCGAGGGACAGATGCTTTATTTATGACAGCTGAAGAACTTTGACATACGATGGACAACGTCTGTACTACTGAGAGCTTACAGTAACATAATGTCCAGATAGCTTCATTTAGCTCAGATACCGTAGCTCCATTACATCTCCCACCATTAACAGAAATATTTTTTATTATTGTTATTATTTAGCACAGTATGTTATACTTCAGCGCCACACGTGAAATATACGCCTGCTCTGTAAACATAGCGATTTTGAACTGGAACCGACTGGCGTCTCTTCCCAACACAGATCAGTCACAGCAGCTGCATTCCGGCGCAGATTAACTACAAGACCCAAAATATATTCCGTCAGGTGGTTCGGCTGTTCATTTATCAGCCCCTGCACATGCGCACTACAGGCGTATATTTCACACATGCATGGACAAATGGCATATTTCTATCAACAACAATGGCGTCACTCAAAATATGCGTTTTGTAAACGGCCCCTTAATCTTGCTGTGGTGCAGTTCTTGGGGACTGGGATGATGGTGGAATGCTTGAAGCAAGAGGGAACCTCACATAACTCCAGAGACTTGAGTGAAGATCTGAGTGAAGATGGGGGCCAGTTGATCAACAAAGGATTTCAGGCAGAAGTGAGTGGGGTGTGGGTGAATGGGTTGAAGGTGTGAATGGCTGGTTTTCAAACCTGCTAGAGAAGCTGTTTAGCTCGTCAAGGGATCACAACATGGCAGGATGGGCTCCTGTAGTGAGTGATGTACAGATCTAACAAGGTTGGTCATTAGCACCCTGATGGCAACTTGCTATTCACAGGGGGCTGAGTGATAGTAGCAATAACAGCATTGTAAGAGGGTGGAAGTTGAACATGGAGACCCCCACCCCTTTTTAAAGATGGATGAGTTCTATTCACAAAGATGGCCTCCTTTCCTCCTCTCTCAAACCAGCATTCCTCTTTATCAAGAATGTGCACATCTTCATCCCTGAAAGCATGACCACTGGCCTGCAGATGATTCTGGCCAAAAGGATTACCCAGCACAGGTCAGCAACATCATCGGGCCAGGGCTCTGCAGTCTACACTCACTAACAATCAATTGTTAGGTCTCTAATGATATATTGTTAGCATTTTTCAGTCAGGTCATCTGGACAGTTTCTTTTTTTTTGTGCTGAAACCTTTCGCCTTCGATCCGGAAGGCTTCTTCAGTCAAGGAAACGCACAACACAAAACTGATTCTTCCCCTAGCAGCATACTCCAAAGTGGAACAAACCAGTTATGTTGGTGCTAAGATGGTCTCTTTTGGCACACCCCCTCCTCCATTGCCGGCCGTCTTCCTTGTTGACACTCACGTCAAACTGGTTGAAAACAACAAAGTCCATGCTCAATAATCCAGGTATACAATCCAACACTTTTCAGAAAAATAAAAAATGTTGGATTGTATACCTGGATTATTGAGCGTGGACTTTGTAGATATATTGTTATGCTGATGGTCCTCCTTTTGCATGTGAACAACTAGTTCAGGCAGCAAACTGGTTGGTCGGCTATGAGAAGGTGTGATTTAGAAGATTGTTTGTTGCAGTGTTTCAGACTGAATAAGTCTTTTGGATAAAACGTTTCAACAAAGAAGAATCCGTCCAGAAGACCTGACTTAACCTTGTTAGATTTTTCTACCTGGATTGTTGATCATGCATCAGGTGATGTTGTACATACAGACTCCAAACCGCAGCTGGATTGTTAGCTGAGAAGCTGCTTTTCACTGTAGCTTCTCTTAGCTGCCCTGATCTCCTTAATGTTTGTTTCTTGCCTGCTTATACAGGGCCCGGTCCACACTGCTGTAAACCTCTTCTTTGGTCCAACACAGCTTCCTCAGATGTGAAGTGAACCATGGTTTACTGTTATATTTGTGTATGTATGGTCTTCATTTGCACTCCCTCACATGTCATGAATCAATATGCAGTAACTTTACTGAAAAAACCCCTCAATAAGCTCCCTCAACAGAACAAGCCACATTTATTGGTAATATGATTCAAAGTTTTGTTTTATGAACACGAGGAGTCCAGTGGCACGAGAGAGCAGTGGTTCGAACTGCTGCCTCTCAGGAAAAAGGTTGCAAGTTTGCCTCCCAGCCTTTCCATGTGACATCTATTCAGTTAAATTCAACCTTTATTTATACATGTTTGTATCAGTGAGCCTCGAGGACTTATTTACAAGAGAGACCTGTTTTTTAACAAAGAACGATGACAACAGTAGACAATCATAAATATAAATTGAACAAAAAATGGAAGAAAATGATGTAAAAAAAAAAAGAGGCTACATTATAAAGCAATATAAAGTACTACAAACAGGGACATGTCTGCGTTGGTTTTTGCCAGGAACTTAACAGATGTTTGAAGCCACGATGTCGAGAGCTTCAGATCATTTTGCAAGATATTCCAGGAAACAGGAGTGGAGGCCCTTTTGCATATTTCAGTCTGCACTGAACCTCACAGTCCTCCCCATGCACACACGGGTTTTCTTCAGGTACTCTAGTTTCCTCACACAGACATAAAACATGCACTTTGGGGGTAATTGGTGACTAATATAAGAGCATCCATTCATCTATTATCTTCTCCTTGTTCCAAAGTTGGGTCTTGAGGAAAGCAGCTTGAGCTGTGTGGTCCAGACTTCTATTACAACAACCCTTTAGATTTTACATTTTGCTTTTGGAAACTTTAATTCCTCTTTTTCTGGATGTAAATCACATTTTTTGGATGATTGTTTCCTCTGGTATCGGATGCTGTGCAGCTGGAAGGATTTTTACTGAAACTTTTTTAGTTTTGGACATTTGTTATGATGCGTAACCATGGCAACAAGGCAGTTTCTACATCTAGAACAACTCTTTTATGAAACAAGGAAAATGAGCTACAACAACATTTAATTTCCCTCTGGGATTAATAAAGTATTTTTGAATTGAATTGAATTGAATTATTCCAGCTCTTCTGGGAGGATTTTAAGGCATTCTCAGGCCAGCTGAAAGACACATATATATTCCCCAACTTCTCTTTTTGGAAACCCTCCATAGGAAGCCATCCTTACCAGATGTCTGAACCACCTCAGCTGGTTCCTTTCCATGAGGAGGAGCAGCTCCGAGTCTCTCCCCAATAACTGGAGAGTGCAGTTACCCTGTGGAGAAAACTCATTTTGACCCCTGTACCCACAGTCTCATCCTTTCAGTTGCTAACCAGAGTTTGTGACCATAGGTAAGAGTAATAACAGACCAATGAGTAAACAGAGAGCTTTGCCTTGCAGCTCAGCTCCCTCTTCACGACAATGGACCAGAACAGAGTACACAATACAGCAGCTGCGCTGATCCATCTGTTGGTCTAAAAGCCCGTTCATGAATGGTTGTTTGTCTCATTTGTGTCTATTTTCCATGTCTAGGGTTGACTTATTTACGGTGTACCCCTGCTGGAGATAGACACCAGGTCCCCCGTGATGTGGGACAAAGCAAGTAAAGGAAATGGATGGACATGTTGTTTATTTCTAACAGTCTTCTTCTGCTGTGATTATGATTTCTGGTGGTGCCTGTGGTGGTGATTGGCGGCTTTGTGTTTGTGATGCCATGACCCAAGCCCGCATCGTTGTCTCTGTCTGAGTAGACTTTAGGTTGTGCTTTCTTAGTAGGATCAGAGGAGGGTTCTTCAATAATGTGTAAAGCAAAACCCAACGCCTCCTGGCTCGGGTATTCATAATGGATGCTGGAAAATTAAATATGAAGAGGAAACAAGAGGAGGAGAAAGTTTATATATCAGACAGATGAACACTTGTAAATGACTGTTTCTGGTGCAAACACATTGTTCTAACCTGACGGAGCGTTGTCAAAAGAGGAATATGTTGTTGTTTCATTACGTCTCTCCAGCACATTGGAAACCAGCAGCTGGCAGAAACACACCATCACAGGGTTGTTGTGGTAATGGTCGGCAAAAATCATCCCTATCCATGTACTGTAGCCTGGGACATAAAGTTAAAACCACATGCAAATTATTAGAAACAACAACAACATTGCATTAAATATTTTAAAATACATTTAAGAAAGATGGAAAACTAAAGAAGTAAAATCAAAAAAGTTCAAGTTTACAAAGATTGCTATATCTCTTGTCATATTTCTCTTGAAGAAGCTGAGTCATAAAAAAGCCAAGATGAAGCAGAACATGTAGCAAAAATTTTAAAAGAAAAAAATGCTAAATATAAGTTATAAGTTGCAAAATACTAATTAAAGGAGCAAAAATCAAGACATAGCTAGCAATAAACAAAAAATAAATATAAAAAACTTGCTAAAAACTTAAAAAAAAAAGGCTAGGAAAATGCAAATGCTAGCTAAATCATAAATCTCGCAAAAAATAAAATAAAATAACATACAAATCTAGATACTTGTTAAAGGTCAAAAGGCTATAGCTAAAAGCTAAAAGTTCCAAACTGCTTGATACATGCTAAAATGATCAAAAGGATACCTAATTACTAAAAGCAGCAAAATGCTTATAAAAGCTAAAACTAGCAGAACAGTGGCCAAAAGCAAAAGAATGATAGATAAAAGCTAAAAGTAGCTAAAGGATAGCTTGTAAGTAAAAAGTAAAAGTAGCAGAATAGTAGCTAAAAACTAAATAGAACATAGACAAAAAATAGAGTAAGTGCACTGAAGCAGATTTTTAAAACAATTATTTTAAAGAATTTGAGATCTTAATATTAATTGTTGTTTTTGTTAGAAAATTATCATATCGCTATATTATAAAATCATTTGAGAATTCAAAATAGTTAAATGAAAGAAAACTTAGGCGGGTAAAAAAAAAAGATTCAGCATTTACTCAAAAAATAAATGAACCAATGTTTTAATAACCAACAAACTAATACAAAGTCACTGTGACATCATTTTCTGTAAAATGCTGCCATCTTGTGGACAATATATGAAACAACAGGTGACCGTGGCTTTACTCAAACCTCAATACAAAAACATTACAAAATACATTTTGCTTTAACTTCTGTAACAGAAAATAATAAACTTGGTCATCACTTGACTCCAGTGTAGTTCAGCGCATGTTTTGACGATGTGTCTGGTATAACACGAAGCTCACCAGCATCCAGGGTTTCATATCCCCTCTGCATTATGGTTCTGTCTATGCGGGACACCAACCATGTTCCAACCACTAGGCTGAACAGCAGCCTGAGCACGCAGGTACTGATGCCCATCACCACGTTGTAGAAAAAGAAAAAGTAAGTGAAGCAATGGAACGCCTTTCTGGAAAACAAAAAAAAGAAGTCACCTTTAATTTACTTGTTCTGCCAGTCTTTGGTAAATAACATTAAATATATTTCTCACTGAAAGCTGTTTTATTTCATCTTTATGATTCAGGGTTGCATAAATGATAGATTCTATACTGATCAAAATGACACTAATGGTAATAGATGCAATAGAACAGTGTTAGATAAGTATTGCACAATATAATCTGTAAATTAACCGCTTCTTCTTTCAGCCAGTCTCACGAGGAAGTCTTGTTTTATCATATCATTACAGTGTGAACTGATTCGGTGTTCATCAGTGTTTGAAACCACTTCCTATCTCAATGGTTAGCACTTCCTGTCAAACAAAGGACTGCGATTTTGCAGACTTCGTGGTCCTGAGATATACCGACCTATTGTTGAGAGCCAGAGGTTTCTGCTTATCTGTGGGGGACATTTTGTCCTGAAGGAAGAAGACCTGAACCAGAACCACCTGAAGAATCACCAAGCCGATCACCAGACCAATGGTCAGCCTGAGAGACGAGTATAATTAGAAACACCTTCCAACAATCTGTGTATCCATTTTTATTCCATCAAAGACCCTCTGTCACAGGAGAGGCCGTCGTACAGAATGAGGCCCAGGTTTTTCAGCATGCTCAGCGTCTCTCCGTGTAGTACGGGAAGAATGAACGTGTAGACCAACACCAGCGCTAACATGAAGTGGACGAAATGGACAATGAAGTAGCCTGAATGAAAAGAGGGGAGACAAAATAACTTTCACCACATTTAAAATGGAAGAATAAATTCAGGTTTTATTAATTTAATAGATTCTAAACAATCAAAATATAATAGGTATAGAACTTTTAAGCATTTTGTCACAAAAGTAGAACCACAAGAATATACACATATACATTTTAGGTTTGCTTTTAAAGTCTTTAGATAAGCTCTTTAACCTACATTTAGCTCCTGCTTCACTTGTTCATGTGTTACAGGTAAAAAAAATAATAATAAAAAAATAAAAAACGTACCCCACAGAGTAAATGCTATTTGCCATCCAGAGTATCTTGCAATAGAAGCCTGGAAAGATTCATAAGAAAACTTATTTAGCAACAATTTACAAAGAATGAAGTGTGCTATAATATATTATAATAAAAACAAATAAGGGCACTCGTAACGCTTTTCACATGAAGATCTCTAATAAACTTTAAGTCAAAAACTCAAACACAAAATCAGTGCTTTGGAGTTTTGTTTATGTGTTTTTGTGGATAATTATTGCCAATCTGCGTTTTTCTTAGAAAATTCATCTGAAATAATTTCATTTCTGCTCATAGCTGCGTCTAAATAGGGTCATCCGAAGGAGTTATTACTGAATTATGGCCCCTCTTAAAAGTTTTGACGCACATAATTTCCGGACTATTGAGCGCACCCGAATATAAACCGCGTTCACTAAATTAGAAAAATTATAATAATTTTGTACATATATTTGTACATTCCTTAGATAGATCATTTACTATTTGGCTTTTCTATGTATGTGAATGTTCCTGTAAAGTGCCCTGAGACAACTTTGTTGTGATTTGGTGCTATATAAATACACTGAATTGAATTGCATTGAATTGAATATATAGGCCGCACTTGTCGTGAGTATCTACATGAGACATTTATACAGAAGGATTTTTTAACCTTAATTTATACAGGTAGTCTCATTAAGTCACGAGGACCCACCCCTGAAGAGAGATGTGTACTGGGCAGCTATGTGAGCACGCTGGTGTGACGAGACTAAATGTTTTGGCGACATGAAGCTTGTTAGCCTGTCCCCCAAAAAACATTAATTATCTGCAGCATTGTATAAGCCGCGGTGTTCAAAGCGTGTGGGAAAAAGTAGTGGCTTATAGTCCGGAAATTATGTTTGTTTTTTTTACAAAAATTTCTGTTCAAATTTTTTTTTCTTTATTTGAATGGTTGTCTGCCTTCTTGTCTGACATGATTTTGAAATGATCTGATTTTTGCCTGCACTTACAGTTCCAGTGTGTTTATGTGTGTATTGTACTCACAACACTGACAGCAGATGGAGGATTGTGAAACTTCTCAGGCAAAAAACCTTTCTGTCCTTTCCAGAGTCTCTTCAGATGTTTCCTAAGACAAAAGTTTATGATTTAAATCAGCGGTTCCCAACCATGGCCCCTGAGGAACGCCATCCTGCATGTTTTAGTTGTTTCCCTGCTCCAACACATCTGATTCAGTGATTTAATTACCTCCTCAAGTTCTAAAAAAAGCCTGTTAAACACCCATTCGATCAAATCAGGTGTGTCAAAGCAGGGGAACAACAAAAACATGCAGGAGTGGTGTTCCTCAAGGACCAGGGTTGGGAACCACTGATTTAAATCACCACAGTTCAAAGAAGCAACTTTTTTTTTTCCATTTTACACATGACATCAAATAATAAATAAATAAATAAACCATGATCTAATTTTCCATCTCATCAAGTGGTATTTGTAGTTTTCTTACCTGTAACAAGATAAAATGTGGAAGATGTAAGCAACAGAGTTGAGACTGGCAAAGATGGTGGTGGCAAGCCACGATTCTGAAACGAATCAACACTGATCCTCAGATTTTGATCCTAAAATATGTTGATGTGATTTGGATTATTATTATTATTTTTTTTGTTAGCATAAACAATAAAATGCTCTGAGATGACCCATGGTCATAGATGCTCCCTCCACACAGTCTGGTGGAAAGACTCACTCCTGGCCACGTAGATGAACTCTTCAATCCAGATTATTGCGCCTTCCAGAGTCTGGTTGCGAAAGGTAACCTCATATTTCAGAGCATCCTTCCAGTTTTCTGCTCGGTCAAACATAGCATCACTGAGGCTGTAGTCTGCAAGAGTTATCTGGAAAAATGTTAGAAAGACACATGAACACAGCAGCCACTTTAGAAAGGGTTTGTTTAGCAAAGGAGGACGGTTTTGCTTGGATAAAATGGGTTTTCTCACTATATACAGGCCTATGAGGGATACGATGGTGGTGCCGATGATCCTGTTAGGAAATTTAAAAAAGGGGTCCCATTCATACACTCGTCTCTGGAACCAGCTGAGGAGTTTGCTGCAACACAGGAAGTGAAACAATCAATCAATCCTTGTGTGAATGCAAATCAGAATATCCCCAATTGTGTTTTACATTCTTAACACAACTTAAAAACTCAGATGTTGAATATTTAACAAGGTCTCCAAGTATTACAAACTTCTAGCAACGCATTAAAATGCCTATGATGTCAAATTAATGAAAACAAACAACTCTCACCGGCAGCACCTGAACGCATCAGGTCAGATTTTAAGTAATTTTAAACAAACCTTCATTTGTAGTTACACAACATTAATGCTGATAAAATGTGAGGATATCTCCCTCTGGTGTTTTTTCTGACAATATTATAAATCTGTCACTTATTAAAATTCAAAATGTTTAAAAATGCACATTATAACTACCTGTGCTCAGGTGTTCTCAGCAGTCGTTTCACATGTTGTGCCTGATGTTGCTCAGCTAGCTCTCCAGGATCCTGCTAATGGATTTAGTAATTAATAAAATGGCAATCTTATTAAAAAAATCCCAAAAAGTACAAAACAAAGCAAAAAAACAAAAACATAATTCAACCTTTATTTATAGAGGTTAGTCCCATTGAGCCTCAGGGACTCATTTACAAGAGAGACCTGATTTTAGATTATAAGGCGGTGTAGAAAACTAAAAACAGGAACATGTTTGCGTTGGTTTTTGCCACAAACTTATCAGATGTTTGAAGCCACTTAGAGATGTCAAGGTCAAGAGCTTCAGATCTTTATGCAAGATGTTCAAGGAAACAGGAGCGGAGTAGGAGAAGACCATTTTACCTAGTTCAGTCCGCACTGAGGGAACACTGCAGGTAATAATGTCCTGAGAGTGCACGCTGTAGCTGCACTCACGCAGAGACATGTAGGAGGAGATGTATGAAGGCAACAGACCAAGAAGTGATTTAAAGATGAAAATGTACCAGTGAGAGAGTCTGCATGAAGTTAATGACCAGTTAACCAGTGAATACAGGGTGCAGTGGTGGGTATGATAGTTACAGCCAGTTATGAATCTTAGTGCACCATGATAGGCAGCGTCCAACATCTGCAGGGTGCTTGTAGGAGCATTCGTGTAAATAATGTCACCATAATCAATGGAGGAAAGGAAAGTCACAGTTACAAGGTGTTTCCTACCATCCAGAGTTGAACAAGATCTATTTCTGAAAAAGAAACCCAGTTTAACTTTCAGTTTCCTTACTATGTTTTCCACGTTGAGCTTAAAAGAGAGATGTGACTCGACCAAGATATCCAAATATTTGTAGGAATCGACAAACTCAAAAGGGGCATCATTCGAGGATAAAATCGAACGAAGATCTGCTGGGACCTGTTTGAAAACAACATCCCTTTGGTTTTGTCGGCGTTTAGGACAAGTTTGAGACGGAACAAATTTGACTGGATGAAGTCAAAAGCGGATTGCAAATGCTGAAAAATCTTAGCAACTGTTTTAGCTTGACAATAAACAACAGTGTCATCAGCATAGAAATGTAAGGATGCATTGGGATGGTCTGACTTACGTTACCTATTCATATGTGTTAAACTCAAGGCCCGGGGGCCAAATGTGGCCCTCGTTGACATCTTGTCTGGCACCCAATATGTTATTTTAAATGTAAAATACTTTTATCACTTTAATTTTTTTAATTACTCTTTGATTATGATGTCAAAAGTGCAACAGAGAACGTGACATGAGACCAATCAAACTCCTGCTGAGGAACCTACAACCAAGAAAAGATGTTGGATATCTTAATTTGAGTTAATGCAGATTCTGAAACTGGCCCTTAGTTTGAAAAAGTTTTTAATTTTGGTCCCCTTTTGTAAGTGAGTTTGACACCCTTTACCTATGTAGATTGTGAAGAGAGTGGGTCTTAAGACTGAGCCTTGTGGTACACCATTGTTAACCGTTAAATAACTGGAAGAAGTACCATTATGTTGAACACATTGCCTCCGATCTGAGAGATAGTGAACCAACCAACATACAATTCTATAATAGTACATTACAATATATTTGATGTGAAATCTTATCCATAGCTTATGTATGGATTTTTCCTCCATAGCAACAAATATTTTGCAAGAATAATAAAAGCATTTCTTGAAAGAGTTCGCTATTCGCAATTTGCAGCATTGCTCACCAAAATTTAAATAAAAATCTTTGTCAATATGTTATCACTCTACGTATGTGATAAAGGGGACTCTCAGCTACTATCACACCAAATGTTACTTCAATATTTTTAAAATGACCAAAGTTATACCAATTTTTGTGTTTGCTAAGTATGATTAACCTAGCTGTGGCGACCATCTTGAATCAGGTTGACAAAAGTTAATTAGGTGCAGATGCATATTCAATAATTGCGTTTTAAAATTTCCATTCAAATATACCCAGTAGTTCATAAGATATTTTGCTAACAGACAAGCACACACACACACACACACACACACAGACAATTACACCATCAAGCAATACCTACATACTGACCTCTGGTTCCAGATGCAGATGTATGCTAACATCTTTAACCAGCATGTAAATGAATCGTCCCAGGAGGAAGACGAGTGAGAGGACACAGGGCCACTGGGCAATTATCTTCTGGTATTTACCCAAAATCTTTAAAATCAATAAAGGAATTTGATTGAACAAAGTCATATTTATGATATGATTAAATGTCAACAGGATGCTTTAAAGTGTAATGTTTTGCAGCATCTTGAGGTTTGGCTCGAAACGTGAATGCTGGATGTTCAGTAGAAATCTGATTCAATCCTACCTGACCCCCTGGACAGGTCACCATGTCCCAGACTGTGACAACGATCCTAAAACAGGAAGTCTCAATTATTTCTACCCTTTCTTCTGATTTCAACAACATTTTACGCTGTTCTAAAAAGACGTGAACATGAATTAAACTCGGTTTCTGAGAAAATGCATCGTAGCCTAAATGCTGAGTGACTTTGCTAAAAAAAAATTGCTGAAGCAGCTAAAACTGAGTTGTTAAAGCTAAAAGAAACAGAACATTATATAAAAGCTAAAAAGAGGAAAGCATTAACCAAAAGCTAAAATGTGCCAAATGCTAGCTAAAAGCTAAAATGTAGCTGAATGCTATCTCAAAGCCAAAAGCTGCACAACACTAGCTCTAAATCTAATAGTAGCAAAAGGCCAACACGTAGCTAAATGTAGTAAAATATTAGCCAAAAGTAGTAAGTAGCTAAAATCTAAAAAAGTAGTAAAATGTTAGCTAAAAGCAGCAAAATATTATCTAAAGATTATAAGAAACAAAACACGTTAAAAATTAAGAAACATTACACAGATAAAGTGTAGCTAAAAGCTTAAAGTTGTTAGAAGCTAACTAAAAAATAAAGGATAGGCAGAAGCTCAAAGTAGAAAATGGCGGACTAAAAGCTAAAAGTTACAAGCTAAATGTGTTAAACTGCTAGCTATTAGAATGGTAGCTAAAAACTAAAAGTAGCATAAGACAACAAAAGTTGTACATATGCTGAAGCATATTGCAATGAATAAAGTTTTTGAAGAAATAATAATAATAAAAACATCTCAGTGCATTTCTATTGGGAAATATTTGTAAATAAAGTTAAACATTTTTAAATGTGTAAAAGTTATAAAATAATAATATAACAAAAGTCATAGCTCCCATGTTTTAAAGACCAAGGTTCTGATATATATGGCTAAAATAGTACAAAGTGTGTAAAAGGAGTAGATTGGGAAAAACCTGTGGGAATTCTTTTTTTTTTTAACAATAGTGTGAACGCTGAATCAGCGTTCACTGAATTAATGCTTACCAGGACACAGAGTAGAGTGTTCCCAGCACTGCCCCGGTCATTCTGAATGGTGTCGACAGGCAGGCAAAAAAGGGGAAATACACCAGGCCCACTTCTAAAGCTCCAATCAGATACACTATGGCTGAAGTCAGAGAACATCATATCAGGCAGAAAAATTATGTGAGTCATGACAATGAAAACGATATCAGAGAAAAAACGTTTACCTCTTGCCCAGGGCACGATACTGAAAGGGATGTAACGTTCAGAGAAGAGCAGCATAACGCTGCTGGACACGGCACCGAATGCAAATCCATAAGACCAGCGGTTACTGAGGCTGCTGATCGTATCCAAAGGCCTGGGGCACAAAAACAACAAAATATCAAGAATACAGACAAAAATTTGTCTCAAGGATCTTTGAGTAATCTTTAAAGAACTACTGTATTTTTCAGACTATAAGGCACACTTAAAATCCTTTAATTTTCTCAAAATCGACAGTGAGCCTTATAATCCGGTGCGCCTTATGTATTAATTCTGGTTGTGCTTACTGACCTCGACTCGATTTTATGTGATACAACTGAGCAATGTTGAAAGTTATTGTGAATGAGTTGAATAAAATTTGACTTTCGCTTAATGCACCTTATAATTATAATGCGCCTTAAAGTCCAAAAAATACGGTAGTTTAATGCTATACATATTTTGTCATTCACACAGCAGGCTTCGATTCACATTTTTTTTATGTTTCCTTCATTGTAACTTACACCACGATACCAAAACGTCCTTCTAGGAAAGGCAGCCTGTGGTCAATGGCAAGTCTGTGAGCTCGTCTTTGGAGGAATGAGAGCACGCCTGTAATCAGCACCTGACAGATAAAGTATTAACTCTGAGTGAAAGTGGCAACTGATGATGTTTCAGAAATAGATTTGTGTAAAAAAGTTTAAAGTTGTGATAATTATTTCACATTTTCCTGCTTATCTGATTAACTTAGCAGTTAAAACCCAAACAAATAATCATACAATTCACAATAAGTGTTTATCTTCTATGCTGGTTTTAATTAATCCATTTTGGTATTCTGTTTGAAGGATGCTTCACGAAGCAGTATTTGCTAAGGCCTTTCTGCGTGTTCTCTTTGCACATGTAGGTTTTCTCCAAATGGCATGTGTGTTAGATTACTTGTTGACTCAAAATTGGTGGGGGTACCCATCCTCTCACCTAATGACCCCTGGAAAGAAGTGAGTAAAGAAAATGGACGACTGGATATTTCATAGGATTCGTTTTAGCATTGGTAAAAGACAACACAGTAAAAGTTGTTGAAATTTTGCAATCACTATGTCTGTTTCCTTGTAATTGTCAGTCTCATTCTATGTTTAACTATACTTAATTTATATTCATTCATTCAACCTTTATTTATACAGGTTAGTTCCCAGTGAGCTTTGAGGACTCATTTACAAGAGAGACCTGTTTCAGACAGACAAAGGTAGATAAGGAAAAGAGAAACACAAGGGGAGGGGAGGTAAAAAAAAAAAATCGTATCTTGCACTATGTCCTGGCTGGGGCACAGTGTGAAAGTTGCAAAAAAAGACCTTGCACATAAACAGCAACAAACTAATGACATCATAATACATTGATGTATGAGGAGGCTGACAAAGGTGGTGAGTTGTCCGTGGACACGACCAGAAAGTTCCATAGTCCTGATAAGAGATGGTATTGTGTCTATCAGCTGGGTCAGCTCTGATACAGGCCC